TTCTGCGGCTAGTATTCCAGCTGGCACATTTTCGACGCCTGTTTTTGCCGATTCCATTAACTACTTTTGCATAGAGCTGTGACTACGATCTCGCTCACTCGAGCTTCAAGCCCCCGTGTTAGGGCTAGACACGTAGTCCCATCCGGGTTCAGTTCACGTGACTCACGTGACACGAGAAATGCACGCACGTGCATTGCGAGCGGATGACTCACGTTTTCCACCGAAAAACAGTGTTTATCGGAATATAATCCTACGCAGGCTGATCGGCATGAGCTACGATTGCGGGTTTGCCAACAGGGTGTTGGCAGCAGCTATAGTTTCCGGCAGTTTCGCTCGCTTGCTCCCGTGTATGTGCTGCTTTCTACATTTTGAAGTAGCAACAGCGACAACAGCAACAGTAGACAGTTTTCAGCGCGACAAGAGGCTGCGTCCTGGAGCATCATGCGCGTGTGCCTTGTGGTGTGTTTTATCTCTCAAGTAAATGTGACTGTAGGTATGGACAGCCCCATGTGTGAGACCTGTGCATTTGCCAGCATCATGGGCGCAGAAAATTCTGGGAACTCCGCCAATGTTCAATGATTCATCCCAATCCTCCAATATCCATTTTCACAGCAGAGGCTCCATTCTTTGACCATCAATGGAGCGGATGAAGAGCATTCACTTCGCACACTTGGAGGAGCATCGTTGGACGGCTCCTCCCATCGGCGAAGACGCAACTATGACGAGTACTGTCACAATCGCTGTGGCATAGGACAGCTGAAGCTGATAGCATTCGAGGAAAAGCCTGCGTTGTATCAGAATTCGAAGGTTGGGGGTTTCATCAGCCTTCAAAAGAGCCTCACAAAATACATCAGTTCCCGATGTTGAGACTAACCACTAGCAACATATAGATTCTTCTGATAGAACTTGATTACAGGTAGGCCTTAGCAATACGGGATCTACGACTGCTGTAGAACGTGTATCATGCCGAAGAGAGTGTCTCCAAGAGACAGTCTCTTCCCCATAGAGTTCATCGACATGGAGCGTCACGCACGTGCGTGCTCCTTCCCGCGGTTCACTTCTTAGCCGATCAGTCAGTTCATCGGGCCTCGGACGACCTCGTAGTTGGAGGATGGATTCCGCTCTCATCTATTCATCGTTATCATCCCTATAACTTTGAGCGAATGTGAATTGAATTGCCGCAAGTATTCGCTGGTTGTAGGAGAATCTGCTTATCCGTTAGCTTCTTTCGTAAGCAAAATGATCAAGCAAACTATCCTCAGCATCCTCTTAGTTTGTAGAGCTACCAGTGAACCCAGCAACGTGCCTCCTCTTGGCTCATACCGTCAGTTTGATCCGTCCACCGGTCTCTCTAAAGACGACCTAGTTGTCACTGTCAATAGCGACGAGAAAGGAAAGAGGTTAATCACGGTTTACATCGCAAAAGATGACGACAGTAAAGTCGATTTACAGTCTATTATTTATCAGATCGACAACGTCCCCCTCAAGATGACGAAGAGCTCAGGTGACCTCTACAGCGTGGACTATAGCTCCCCGGTCGCTAAGAGCACGTTGTATCCCTATGGTGCTATCGATTTCAAGCTAGACTATGATTCTTCTAAGCCGAGGTTCATCTTAACTCACCGACCGACTCATACCAAGTATACGCTCGTATTACCGTGGCTGGTATTATCGGGTGAGGATCACTCAAAAAAGCTGCGAGGATTAGCGGAGCCCTCCAGTGGCGGTATTAAGGCCAAAAAATATTGTGGTGTTGGTGACCACAAAGAGGATACTATTCAGATGTATACCGAGAAGGGGCGTCTTCAAGCTTTCTTTCAAAATGCAGTGGATTCTTCTATCTATGGGCAAGTATGCGAAATATCGGTCATTACTAACTATGCATTGTCAGGGAGATACCTCTTTTTCGACAAGTTCGTGAATGACACGTCTGTTTCAGCTTTCATCAAAGTTGGCTTTTCGATTATCAAAGATGAGACAGCCGACTCTTATGCTGTCACATACAATGGGGATAATGAGAGCCGTGTGGTTTTTGAAAGGTGTTGATGGTAGCTCTCTGCGAATGCGAGGTGCATTCTGGAGTCTGGAGGAACACACTCAAGATGCCATTTTATGTGGAATTCTCAGGGAAAACAAATCTCATCTCCCATATCGTCTTTTTCAATTCATACATTTCGCTACATCCTTCGTCAGTCTCTGAACTTCGATATTGATACCCCTATATTTTCAGCAGTGGAAAGTCTGCACCAACAATGATGTTGCGTTTGAGTAACCTAGTTACTCGCGGTAGATCTCATCGACTCCTACGCAATCCACGCAATTTTGCTCGTTACCGTCTAAAGTGATATGTATGTGCATGGCGATCCGATCGCCGCGATCGTGCCAGCCTGGCATTGCCAAGCACTTTGGGGCTCCCCAGCTTCCAAGCTGGTGCGGTATCATCATTATCCGATAATGAGTATCGAGTTCATCAGGATCAACATCAGTGTGTAACAGCTCATCATCCAATGCTACCAGGAGAGAACATTAGACGGACATTGTCCAGCAGGAACCGCACATCTACAAATTTCTTTTCACACCTCCTCCTTAGTCCTTTCCTTCTCTCATTATACCTGTAA